GGGGTGCCATAAGATATCACCATATGCTTATTAATATGATATCAGAATTTGACCCCTTAAAATTATATTGTAATGTGACCCCTTAAAGTTCCCCGAAAGTCGAGTCTGGGGTGCCACATATGTTATTGGAATTTGGGGTGCTATACAATATCACCATACGCTTATTACTAAATCCCCAATATTAATAAGCCCAAGTGGATTCTTGCCTAATATTTAGAGAAGAATTCTAAATACCAGCAGAAGTGAATGAGGCAGTACGGTACATTTTAAGCTTTTATTAATTGCGAAAGATGCATAGAAGAGTGAGAGCTTTATCTAAGAGAGAGAGGTAAATCTGGGTTCATATTGAGCACCAGGAACCAGCCAATGGAGGAACATCTAGGCCAGGAAGCCTAGGGTGGGTGGCCAGAAGGCCACGCACCCTGGGGGCACGGGGCTGCAGCCAGCCCCCTACTGGCTAGAAGCCAGGGAAAAGAGGCTAAACAAACCGTGCTCCAGGCTTTTAACCCACTTCCAAAGGGGAGTGGTTAATTAACCTGATTGGACGGTGGGCATCCAGGTGTGGCCAGGTAGGGGCATGAGGTCACACAGGGGTATGTTGAAGGCGTGGTCTTCCAGCTCACAAACCTTATCAATTTTAACCTGTATGCCTGCCTACTTCAGCATGAAGCCAAAACTAACAGAAAAAAATTTTAAAAGCCCAAAATAGAAAGTACCACACAACAATGAAAAAAAAAAGAAAGAAAACAATGCCTATTCTGGATAACACCCTCCAAAATGCCGAAGAGAAAAGACCCTGGTTTGAGATGGGCTCTTGGAAGGCCCACCTTACCTGGGAATAGAGCTTCAGAAGGCTAAAAGGAAAACCACGTGGTCTTGATGAAATATCAGAAGGCCCAGCATACCTGAAAATAGATCTCCAGGAAGCCAAAGAGACAACCGCCTCCGAGATGAACGCTCCAAGGCCCGCCACACCTGAATACTGAACCCCAGGGGCCAAAGGGGAAAAACACTGGTCTGAGACGGAAGCTCAAAATGCCCACCATACCTGGTACGCTGAACACCGGGCTGCCACTGCCATGCCTGGGAGATGGAACCCCAGTAAGCGAAGAGCATCCCCATAAAGATAAAATAAAACATAACAAATATCACTTCACTTCTCAAGCATGCAGCATGGAACCGCCGATAGGGGACTCCATGTTGGGGGTGGAGTCTGTCCCCCATCTTCTGGTAAGTCAGAAATCCTCATGGTTTCTGCCCCCTTGGAAACCTGATGTTTTCAGTGAAACTGCCATTTTGGTACTGAAGTCAAACACCCCGCACAGGACTTGGACTCTCCACAAGGTCTGTATCCTCACCACCTGAGTGTACGTTGTCAGTAGCAACAGAACTGTTCTTTTCTCGCTTGTGCCACTGAAAACTGGCCAAAATAATTTACTCTACTTTTCCTGATATTTTTAACATGAAAACCTGAAGTAAACCCATATTCAATAACTGGGAAATCCGTCCATATCACATAGAGAATTAAGATTTATGATATGCAAATACATATATCAAAAGCGTAGGTGTTCTCTGCATTTTTCTGAGAATAAAATCTCAGATGTGCTGTGCTTTTCTGATCTTAATCTTCTGCTGCTTTCCCAGAAGCATTAACAGGGAGCTGGATTGAAATAAGAGCTGTTGAAAAGAACCAGTCAGCAAAGTGAAGAGGCAACTGACAGAATGGGAGAAAATATTTGCAAACTACACAACTGATAAAGCATTAACCACCAGAATATATAAAGAGATCAAGAAACTCAACAACAACAAAACAAAAAACCCAGTTAAGAAATGAGCAAAGGACTTAAACAGACATTTTTCAAAAGAGGAAATCCAAATGGCCAACAGAGACATGAAAAAATGTTCAGGATCACTAGCCAAGAGAAATGCAAATCAAAACCACAAAGAGGTTTCATCTCACCCCACCCCACCCCCCATTAGAATGGCTTTCATACAGAAATCAACAAACAACAAATACTGGCAAGGATGTGGGGAAAAAATGTTCCCTAATCCACTGTTGGTAGAAATGTAAGCTGGTAAAACCATTATGGAAGACAGTATGGAGATACCTCAAAAATCTGAATATAGACCTACCTTATGATCCAGACATCCCACTTCTGGGAATATACCCAAAGGAAATGAAATCAGTATATGAAAGAACTATCTGTATCTCTGTGTCTATCGCAGCTCAATTCACAATAGCAATGACATGGAATCAACCCAAATGCCCATCAACTGAAGATGGGATATAGAAATTATGGGATATGTACACCATGAAATACTACATGGTAGTTAAAAAAAAAAGAAATCCAGTCATTTGCAACAAAATGGATGAAGCTGGAACTTAGTGAATACACCAGTCTCAAAGGAATAAATACTATGTGTTCTCCCTGAGCTGTGATAATTAGTAGAGCACCTAAAATGGAAACTTTTCGGTAGAAGTGAAATTGACACTTTGAGAGGCAATGACATTGAATAGCCTGTGCCTTGACTGTTAAGGGTTTTTTAATTTTTTATTTTTTCCTTTCTTTTATTTTACTTACACTTTTTATCTTATTTTACTTATACTTTTTTATACTAATTATTGAACTCTTTACTTAACATAGAGTTTATCCAACATATATAAAGTTAATAGAAAATATATCTTAGTTAAAATAAGAGTGAGAATAAGAGAGGAAGGGGGGTGGGGGTGTGGGTGGGAAGGTGGGCGTGGAGGAAAGATCACCATGACCCTAAAGCTGTAATTGTGAAATGTATGAAGTTTGTAACTGTAAAGCAGTATAGTTCTGCTTACATTCCTATGGACTTACTTCTAAAGGTATAGCATAAAAACTTGCCATGGAACCTCAAACCCCTTTAATTTGGGTAGTAAAAATGGGATTCTAAGTGTTATAGAGATCATATGGATAGGATTAATGTTAAACTGATCATATATAGATGGGGTCAACTGTTAAAGTTATTATATAAATAAGACTAAGTGTTTGGTAATAATAATAGGTAAAATTAAAAAAGAGTGAATGTTCCAATATGGGAAGCAGTCCATACAGCAGACTCATAGAATGACAATTGCCTTAAGTAGCACTCTGACCTCAGAATCAACTCTTAAGGCATCCTGGTTTGGCCAAAAAGCCCAGGGGAGCATTTCAGGCATGGAAATCCAAGACACTGCAGCAAAAGATGTTCTACATGAAGGACTTCTGTGCGTGAGAACCCAGTGGAAAGAAGTGGTCATCAAAGAAGTATGTACTTTCCTCTGAAGGGAGGAGAGAACTTCAACTTTACCTATGGCCTTATTGAAATACTGAAGGAGTTTGTCAATTTAAATGGCTTCCATAGCCTACACAGCTCTTGTCAAGAGCCTCAGATAATCACTGACATCATACATATGAGTATTAATTGTTAAATAAATAACAAGAGTTACTATTACTTCTCATGCAGAACCTCTGTCCTCAAATGGTTGTATTATGAGACTTAATAGTAAAACTTGTTCTCAAAGAATTACTCTGTTTTAGTGTATTAACTGGACAATGTTCTTATATTTCAAAATTATAGTTATGTCTAAGTGCTCACAAAATATGTATTGTTCTTGGGTTCTTCTAAAGATTATAAGTTTCTAAAAATAATGCAAAATTACCTTCAAGATGCAATGACTTTGAACAGCCCTTGTCTGGACTGTTGAGGAACAGTTTTTGTTCTTGTTTTTTTATTTTTTTTTAATTTTAGTTTTGTTGTTGTTGATTTGTTTTGCTTTTTCTTCTTCATACAAAGTGTTGAACTCTTTAGCTATAATCGAGTTAATCTGTGTATAAAGTTAAATGAAACCATTGCCTTGACATAGCGGGTAAAGACGCCACCTGCAGTGCCAGCATCTCATATGGGTGCCAGTTCGAGTCCTGGCTGCTCCACTTCCAATCCAGCTCTCTGCTATGGCCTGGGAAAGCAGTAGACGGCCCAAGTCCTTGGGCCCCTGCACCCACGTGGGAGACCCAGAAGAAGTTCCTGGATCCTGGCTTCTGATTAGCATAGGTCTGGAGTTTCGGCCATCTGGGGAGTGAACCAGCGGATAGAAGACTGACTCTGTCTCTCTGTGTTTCTCTCCGTCTCTCTCTCTCTCTCTCTCTCTCTCTCTCTCTCTGCCTCTGCATCTCTGTAACTCTGCCTTTTAAATAAATATTCTTTTTTAAACAGAAAATAGTAAAAATGATGACCTGGGTTGAGTGACATGATGTAAGCAAGGAGGTGAGGAAGAACATGTGCGTGACTAATTGATTTCATTGCTGACTGCAATTCTTTTTGTATCTGGGAGATTCAGGAGTGCGGAAAGAGGAAAGAAAGGAGGGTGTAGAGAAGGTTTTGAAGAGCCATCACTCGTTCTGCGAGGAGAGAATGAACACCTCAGTGCCCTCAGAGCTGGCAATACAAGGTCAACAGCTTAGCTGAGTCTGAGCGGGAAGTGGCAAGTGTCATTGGCAAGAGATTGTAGCTGAGATCTTTGGGAGAGTGCACTCAGTTTCCTGAGTATTTGAACCCACAGCCAGTCGTCTGGCCAGAAGCCAGGTTGAACTGCAGGTCCACTTCATTTTTCAGATGGCTGGCCCTGCACAACCAACGAGCCCAGTGCTCTCAGTTTCCATTCGGCCCCAAAACACTGGTCTCAGCAAACACAATTCACCGGACTCCTGTGATACTGACCTAGGATTCTTGCCGCGGGGGCTGAGGTGCGCAGGCGCTCACGGCGTCCAGGCGACCGGGAGCCGTCGCCTAGCAACCAGGGACTGGCAGTTAGGAGGCGGGCCGGGTCGTCGCCTGGCAACCGGCAACAACACCGGCTTGGGAAGCGTGCGCAGGCGGCGGCCAGCGTCCTTTGCAGGATCTGACGGGCCGGTTCCCGTGGGACCTCTTGGCAGGTAAAGGCAGGTGCCTGCTGCGCGGCTACCCACGCGGGTTGGCGGGACCCACGGCAGAGGATCGCACAACACTTAGGGAAAGAGAAGGATTCTCGCGGTTGGCGCCCGTTGGGGCAGCTGAGGGGTCGTTGTGAGGGGTTGACCCTGCCCGGCGCCTGCAGCGTGAGGCGAGGGTCGGGTGGTGTCCTGAGCATCCCGTTTACGAAGACAAAAATTGCGGCCCCGAGCGAGGGTCCGAGGGTCTGAGGATGCCTTACATGACTGAGCGAATCAGGCGGTGGGCCCCGACTTGCTCTAGCCTTCCTCCTCCCCTTTAAGACGTTTTGAGACACAACTCCGGTTAGAAAGTATTTAGGTAGTAGCCTGGGCGTGCACGAAGGAGACTTACAAATGGCCAATAAACTCGTGGGAAAGGAAAAAAAAAAAAAAAACAACAACAAACTATGACTCCAGTAATGAAGAAGATGCCCATTTAAGGTAGATCTGTTTCCTTAGCCAATGTCTTGAACTTTGTCACTTTTCACCAGACATTGTAATGTTTGCGCTCTATCCTATGGGACCAGTCCGGGGTGTAGGTGAAGGTGTAGGTCCGAGGACGACGAACCATAATCCCAGAGAACTGGAAACATCCCAAGCTAGAATGTCTAGCTAAATAATGGATTTTAAGCTATTGTTTCAATGGCATGGTATGCTGATCCATTGAAGGTGACTAGAGCAAGTAATGGACACTTATGGCTTATGAAGTGTCTGTTAGTTTCAGGAGTTGGCAGGAAAATGGTCTCAAGAAGGGGAGGTGGGAACAGGGGACAGAAACAGAGGTAGGATGATCGAATCACTGCAGAAAGCACACACACACACACACACACACACACAAGAACTACGTAGAAACGGTGCTAATTTTACTCAGCTTATCCTTCAGTGATTTTTATTCTGTTAATTGTGCTCTTTGTGATCCAAGTTCTCTGCAATGAAATGCATTACTGTTATAAGGAAAATAGATTAGAGTCATCTCAAGAGCTCATTCCCTCTACCCCATGTGAGCTATTTACTCTCCATATTACTATTAGACCCAACACAGGGATAAACACATATGCTTCTAATGCCACAGGATCGCCTAGAATCAGCTCTGTAGTTGCAAAGCGTGTATGTCTAAATCATTACAGCCTCTGCACTCTTCTTTATACAGTCACTCAAAAACACTGTTCTGAAATAGAAATAGTTTCTGAGTGAAAATTAGATGATTGTAAAACAATTTTATGCAGCTGTGATTGCACTGCTTCTCAAATATTATTAATAAGGAATTATTTTATAAACAAAAGGCTGCTATATCTTGGAATTAGTTATAAAGAGCTAGGAACCAATTTTTTTTCTGGAGAGTAATTGTGTGACAGATTCTCATTTGTTGCTTCTGTGTCTGCCTGAAACATTGTAGGCGGAAGGTTTAGGGCCTGTGCACTTTTCAGTGGTGGTTGAGATTTGGGGGGAAAAAGGGAAAGATTAATTTTAATTAAATGCTTTGCTAATATTAAATTTTTCTTGGGGCTAGCATTGTGGTGTAATGGGTAAAGCTGTGGTCTGTGACACTGGCATCCCATACGGGCACCCGTTCATATCCCCGCTGCTCCACTTCCGATCCAGCTCAATGCTAATGGTCTGGGAAAAGTAATGGAAGATGGCCCATGTGCTTGGGCCCCTGATATCCAGGTGAAAGATCCCGAGGAAGCTCCTGGCCCCAGGCTTTGGCTTGGCTCACTCCTGGCTGCTGCAGCCATCTGAGTAGTAAACCAGTGGGTGGAAGATCCCTCTCTCTCTCTCTCTCTGTCTCTCTCTCTCTCTGTGTGTGTCTCCCACTCTGTAACTTTCACTTTCAAATGAAAAAAAAAATCAAATTTCCCATTATATTTGATAACAATGTTCTCATTTTGCAAGAATTTCCAAGTGTACAGACTGATTGCTGAACAATTTAAAATGTGTATTTCAGATTTCTATGATGAAAACTATATTTAATGGGGGACTTTCATACATCTTAGCATACTAGATGTAGTGTGAGGTACTGCATCACTTAGTAAGTGGGCCCTGACTCTGAGATCTTAAAATGTATGTGGCCTGAACTTAGTGACCTGGAATGAAGGTCCTTCAGAGATCCCTATAAATTTCTATGAACTATGGTTCTTTAATGTTTGAGTTAAATTCTGGCTAGTGTCTCTAATGCTAGGAGTTGCTTCTGATCCTTGTCTAGCAATTTGAATTAGCCTGGACATTGTAGATTTTTCTCTAAGGATTGTCTACTGCTCAGCATTTCTGAGAATATGGTTATTTCTTTGAGGTAAAAATTGAGATTGTTCAAATGCCAAATATAATACCAGAAACTGTTTTCAGACTGCACTTGGACTAGCAATTAATTTGCTGTTTAGGATGTCCATGTCACACATTGGTGTATGTGGGTTCAATCCTTGGTTCAGACTCCTGATTCCAGTTACTTACTAAGGAAGACCCTGGGAGGGAACAGTGATGGCTCAAGTAATTGGGTTCTTGCCATTCACATGGAAGACATTTATTGAATTCCTGGGTCCAGATTTAGCTTCGCGGCCACTGCAGGCATTTGGGGAATAAGAGTGAGCCCATAAATGAGAGGATGAGAGACTGAAATCTCTCTCGCTCTCTCTTTCTCTCTCTCTCTATATATATAATATACAAATATTTATATAAATATATATCTATAATATAGATAATATATATCTATAATATAGATATAAATATATATTTATATATTTCTACCTAAATACTTATATATAAATCTCTCTCTCTCTCTCTCTCTCTCTCTCTATATATATATATATATATATATATAGCTAGATTTCTTGGATTATTCAAACAGGCATCAACAGTTTAGAAAGTTCTCTTTATCCAGGTCGAGTGACTATTCTGTGGTATGTCAGCTGTGTTGTATACACATTATACTGCTTGTCTGAGATTTTTTTTCCACACAGGCATGAACAAATGAGTGCAGGTGGGTAAAGGTTTTGCAAGGAACAATTCCAATTTCCCTAGAATATACATCTGCAGATCCTCAATTGCTTTTTTAATTGAACTATGGATTACATTTTTTATCTGAGGAAATGACACGAATGTTAATGCAATTTGGTAGGATAGGGTTTTGTGTTTGTATTATTTACAAAATCTACTCCCAGGAAAAGTGGAGCTAGTGATATTCTTAAATACCAAATGCATACTATTTTCCAAACACAGCTGTAGATACTAGGGATAGATTACTGAAGGAAAATTTTACAGAAATCCCTGTCTTTTGTGCCACATTCTTGCAGATCTCAAAAGTATTCTGGATTTTGTCTCTCAAGCCCAAAATAAGTGAACTGTAAGTATGATAAGCAATTTTCTTGTTATATAAGTAAAATTAGGTAACTAATATACTAATCTGTCATCCAAATTGAAACCAGGACTAATGCCCAAAAATCATATCAGTAAGATTCTTTAAAACTATAGATTTTGACATAGGGATATGCATAACATATTCTTACATAGATAATAATTTCTACATTTACTGCATTTTTTAGAGTTTTATTTATTTATTTGAAAGGCAGAATTACAGAGAGGCGGAGATAGAGAAAGAGGGAAAGAAAGAGAGAGAGAGAGAGAAAAAGAGAGAGAGAGAGAGTCTTTCATCTGCTGGTTCACTCCCCAGATGGCCGCAACAACTGGAGCTGGGCCTATCTGAAGCCAGGATCTAGGAGTTTCTTCAGGGTCTCCCACATGGGTGCAGGGGCTCAAGGACTTGGGCCATCTTCCACAGCTTTCCCAGGTCATAGCAGAGAGCTGGATTGGAAGTGGAGCAGCCGGGTCTCAAACAGGTACCTATATGGGATTCCGGCACTGTAGGTGGCAACTTTACCTGCAAGCCACAGCGCCTGCACCTTTATTGTTTTTTATTATATATAAATTTTAAGGAAGAAATACACCTCCTCCAAAGGATAAAGATAACTGAAGAGTGCACGCATAATGGACACATAACACTTTAACCACCTGTTGCATCTTTTTTTTAGGATGGGCAAAAAAATAAAGAAGGAAGTAGAGCCTTCTCCTAAGGATGTGGTAAGTTTATGATTGGAATACTAGCATTTAAATACTAGTTTTAAAAGTAATTTTTCAAACTGTAAGTTACCAGTATACAAAAGAATTTATGGTGCCTTAAGTCCATAGCCTGATTAATAGTAAGCTAGGGAAATCTGGCATTACATAACCAAACATTTACCATGGTGTCATTTATAAGTAGCACAATTGAAGAGTTCCTATTAGCTTTTCCAGTTAATGGCATATTTATATCCCAGTTAATAAATGGGTTTTTTGGGGGGTAGGCATTTGGCCTAGTGGTTAAGATGCCCGTCGGGATGCTTACATTCCATGTTGGAGTGCCTGGGTTCAAGTCCTGTCTCTGCCCCTGATGTAGCTCCTGCTAATGCATACCCTGGGAAACAACAGGCAATGACTTAAGTAACTAGATCCCTGCCTTGCTTGTGAGTGTCTCTGATTGGGTTATGGTCTCCTGGCTTCAGCCTGGTTCACGGATCCAACTGTTGCAAAAAAGTGGTAGGTAAAACAGCACATGGAAAACCTGTCCTTGTCTCTCCCCCTCCTCTCTACCTCTCTCAAATAAATACACTAAAAAACAATTTTTATTTGTTTTGAAAATAGTTTACATTTACACTTTTTAGTGTCTTGCTAATGTTAATTATCCAAGTGAATTTTCAAAAAAAAATTGGTAATTATGCTACAGCAATTATATATACACGTGTGTGTGTATAGTTAGCTGGTGACAGTTGTTTTTTTTTTTTAAGGTTTATTTATTTATTTGAAAGTAAGAGTTACACAGAGAAAAGAGAGGCAGAGAGAGAGAGAGAGAGAGGTCTTCCATCCGATGGTTCATTCCCCAATTGGCCACAATGGCCGGAGCTGTGCCAATCTGAAGCCAGGAGCCAGGGGCTTCTTCCCGGTCTCCCACATGGGTGCAGGGGCCCAAGGACTTAGGCCATCTTCTACTGCTATCCCGGGACATAGCAGAGAGCTGGATCAGAAGTGGAGCAGCTATGTCTTGAACCGGTGCCCATATGGGATTGCGGCACTTCAGGCCAGGGTGTTAACCCACTGTGCCACAGTGCTGGCCCCGACAGTTTTTTTTTAAGTCCTGTATTTTTCATTTTTTTTTTGACAGAGTACCCTGGGATTATCTTTGCTTTTTTTTTTTTTTTTAATTTTTTTTTGACAGGCAGAGTGGACAGTGAGAGAAAGAGACAGAGAGAAAGGTCTTCCTTTGTCATTGGTTCACCCTCCAATGGCCGCCACGGCTGGCGCGCTGTGGCCAGCGCACCGCGCTGATCCAGTGGCAGGAGCCAGGTACTTATCCTGGTCTCCCATGGGGTGCAGGGCCCAAGGACCTGGGCCATCCTCCACTGCACTCCCTGGCCACAGCAGAGAGCTGGCCTGGAAGAGGGGCAACCGGGACAGAATCTGTCGCCCTGACCGGGACTAGAACCCGGTGTGCCAGCGCCGCAGGCGGAGGATTAGCCTAGTGAGCCACGGCGCGGGCCTATCTTTGCTTTTCTATTCCAAATAATAAGCAATGCATTCCCCACAACAAAAAGCATAATTTTATCTTCCCTATCTTAAAGTTTCTATCAGATGCTGACAGAGTGTATTAAAAGTGGAAAATTACCTTTGACAATTTCAGTTTAGAAAATTTAAAAATAGATATTTGATATGATTTCATTCAAAGTATGAACAGAAAAGAAATAAATATAGTTCATGGACTCAAATGATTTTAAAGTTTTCAGGGACTTGCACTTCATGCAGAAATCTCCCTTCATAATTAGAGGATTTGGGTTAAAAATGAGAAACACTGTCCCAACTCTGCCTCTCACAAACTAATATTTTGGCCAACTTGTCAGATTTGATAAAGTTACTTTGATTTTTCTTTATTGTTTTTATAATTCAAAAATATTTAACTGACAAATAAAGATAAATAGTTTAAAAACATTAAAAATATACATGATGGTTTGAAATATGTGTATATAGTGTGATCATTACCACAACCAAATATTAACACCTCCATCACCATGCCTGCTGCACATGAGATCAACAGATTTTGTTATCTTGTACCTGAAAGTTTGTACTCTTTTTAACATTTTATAAATTATGATTTTAAATTTTTTAATATTTTGTCACATTCACTTCATATATAGGCACTACATACTATTTTTTCTTGAACACAGACATGTTAGTATCACAGACAAGGTTTTATGACAATGATCATAACATGGAGAAAGAAGAGTATATTGTCATTTACATGGTATGATTCAGTGAATGTTTAGAATTAAAAAACAAACAATATGACATCCACACAAATTTTATACTCCTTCTATATTAGTTTTGACAAATAAGGGAAAACTTGATGTTCATATTTCTGGGTGATCTCCAATTGCATCAAACCTATTACAAATGTCAGGATGTCGTTCTTTCTTATGGCCGAGTAATAATCTATCATGCATACATACCACATTTTTTTCATCCACTCATCAATTGATGGACATCTATGTCGATTCCCTATCTTTGCTATTGTGAATTGAGCTGCTATAAACATGGGAATGCAGGGGTCACTTTCATTTGCTGATTTCATTTCCTTTGGATATATTCCCAGGAGAGAGATAGCTGAGTTAACGGTAGATCTATTTTTAGTTTTCTGAGGAATGACCATGATGTTTTTCATAACAGTGTGCCAATTTGCATTCCCACCAACAGTGTATGAGGGTACCTTTTTTTCCACAACCTTGCCACCATTTTTTATCATTTGATTTTTGGATATTGGTTATTCTAATTAGAGTGAGGCAATATTTCATTGTGATTTTATTTGCATTTCCCTGATGACTGATGATCTTGACCATTTTTTTTCTTCTGTCTGTGGGCCATTTGTATTTCTCCTTTTGAAAAATGGCTGCTCAAATCCTCTGCCTGTGTCTTACCTGGATTGTTTGTTTTGTTGTTGAATTTCATGAACTCCTTATATATTCTGGATAGTAATCCTTTAACAGACTCATAGTTTGCAGATATTTTCTGCCATTCTGTAAGTTGCCTCTTCACTTTGTTGATTGTTGCCTTTCATGTACAGAAGTTTCTTAGGTTGATGTAGTCCAATTTGTCTACTTCTGCTTGTACTGCCTGTGTTTGTGGGGTCTTATTCAAGAAGGCTTTGCCTAGTCTTGAAACATTCCCCATATGTTTTCCTCTATTCTAGGAAGAATTGCAGTATCCAACTCATTTCAGCTATTGTATGAGTTACAAAAAAATTAATTATATACAATTTTCAGTGCCTAGAATATTGTGAATAAGAGCTATTAACATGATAATCATCTGGACTCTTCATAGACACATGCACCCCTGTGTCTCGGGCCCAGAAATACTTTGCAGTAATAGTTATTGTAGTCTCATGACATAGTTTTGCATTCTGGCTTCTTTCCTTTGGACATATCACTAAAATGTTGGAGATTCTCTTATTTTTTCAATATATACTAGGTTTCCAAAAACCCACATTTTGCTGCTGGTTCACATTATTAATATCAGCTGAAAGTGGATCCATGAGCACAGTGCTTGTCAAGAACACACACTGATTAGAATTAACAGATGAATAAACAATATATATTTTGTCTGATATATTTTCTGTAACTTATGATATCATTGCTATTATATATATGTTTCAAAGTCTTGGGGACATAATAGCAGTCTTGAAAAATGCAATCTTAATGTAAAAAAAATAGTTCTTGCTTCCCAACAGATTCCAACAGACTGTAGGCAGCCAAAGCCTGTATAACAATTGTCTCAGCGATGTTTTATATTTTTTCCAAAATTTATTAATATGTACGGTTCTGAAGTTCACAGCAAATTCATGGTGTTGCAATTTCATTAGTTAACATGTTAATGTGATATTAATACAAAGGGAACTGATTCAGGGTTATTCATAAATGCAATTATAAGAATATAATAATACTTACCTTCCTCTTTCCCTCCCCCCCACTCCTCCTGCCCTTCTTTTTAATTTTGAGATAATTTATATTATATATCTATATATATTTATACTTTACATGTTATTCAAAGACAATGATCCACTAAATAAAGAGTTCAACAAGTGAAAGTAAAAAGACATAATTCAGTGGGAATGTAGGTAATGGCTACAAATAAAAATCAAATAAAAATATGTCTTTCACTTATAACAGCAAATTTTTTAAAATCATGGATCATTACACCTGTAGTAGTATATCACTCTAACCATTTGTTTGGCAAGGCTATTAAATAAGGTTTGACAAAAACATATTTGCAGCAATACTAATAGATACAGGCATTTCTTGTTTATTTTAAATTTCAGCTCCCACATAAAAGAGAGACTGTGGTATTTGCCTCTCAGAATCTGGATAATTTCAATCAACATAAAGTCCTACAGTTGCATCCAATTTTATGCAAATGGTAGAATTTCATTCTTTTTGATAGCTAAATAGCATCCTATTGTATGTATATACAGCATTTTCTTTATCCACTCATTTGCTGATGGACACCTTGATTAACTACATATTATGTGTGAGAAATAACTATGGTGTATTTCATAAAAGACTTGGCTTAGGCTTAGTGCAGCCACGACACCATGCTGTGGGAGCCTGTCGGATAAAAGTAGTTCAACTGTTAAACTTGCTTTTCAAACCAGGCACCACTTGTTATCTTTGTAACTTTCAGCAATTCTGCAATCAGTAACTACCTGATATCTGTTACACAGTACTGTCATTGAGGATACCACAATGTAACTTATCTTCCCCTGTCCAAATCTAGGAGCAGCACCTATCCCTTTTACTCCTCTCTCAACCTAATTTAAGTGCCTGTGGGGTTTAGATTGTGCCTCCAAAGTTTCTCAACCAATAAGAAACTGGCAGAAGGGACCTTTGCGTGGTAGGGCTTAAAGGAGCTAAATATCTGAGGGCACACAGGATCTACTTCCACTGGCCAGTTATCACACTTCAAGACCAGGTATCAATAAACGTCTTAATTTCTGCTTCCTT